TTTTAAATTGTCTCACTTTTTTTTATCAATTTGTTGTACCATTTTATGTTAAGCTATTAAAAGATTGTATCAAATTCTTAAGCATATCCTTTCTTCTAGATAATATCTGGTTGGCAACCTCCACTGTAGAATCTATAGAGAAATAAAGGACTGAATCCATATACGGCCTCATAAAAAGTGGTCTTAGTAGAACAGTTGAAGTTGGTGTTATACCAATATTCTGCAAGAGGCAACTATTTCACCCATTGATTTAGAGAGTGTCTAGACCTATTGATTTAGATAGTGTCTAGACATACATTGTAGGTAATTTACTATATTTTTATTGACCACTTTTATTTGACTATTAAATTGAGTATGATAAGTTGTAGAATAATAAAAGTCCACCCCTTGATGAGAGAATAAGTGTTTTTAGAATTAACTAAGAAATACATGGTCTTTATTACTAACTATTGTTGTTGGCATACAATATAACTTGTAAATGTTGTCTATTAATATTTTAGCAACTATAAGTGCGATGTAAGAGTATTATATTTTTAGAAAATATATATATTTTCTAAAACGATCTACCACCATAAACAAATAGAACTTTTTCCCCTTAGATTTAAGTAACCCCTCTATGTAGTCTATACTTGTGTCAGTAAAAAGAGCTATATGAATGGATAAATATTATAACAAACCTTGAGTAAAGATATTCTCAGGCTTATTTCTTTGGCAAATTAAGCATTCATGCATAAATTGTTTGATGTGCTTTTGATGTTTTTTCCAATAAAATAAATTGCCAACTCTTTTGGAAGTAACAATAACACCTGAATGGCCTTTCATTGTTAAAGTATGATATATGACAATCAATTTAGTTTACAAGTCTAGATTCCACCCAACCACCATCCTCCCTTTCCTGTGTAATTGTTATTCACCCATTTACAGTGTGAGTGAGAACAAGGTCTGCAATAAGATCTTGTATGATTGCTTGTAAAGTAACATCTTGATTATAAGAGTCCCTAATTTCATCCATTATTCTAGTAGAAATAGATGACAAAACTAAAGCATATAACTTACCACTAAAGTAGCAATATTATCTTTCCTCTTTTTTATACTCAAGTTTGTAATCAAAGCTAAGCAACTTAGTTAACCATAAATGTTGAGAGGGATAATTTACTTTATGATCAAGCAAATAATTGAGACTAATTTGATCTATTCTGATTTTAAAATGCCTTCCCCATAGGAAATATCTTCATTTACTCATTGCATCAACAGTATTATCATCTCTCTTTTATAAGTAGAAAGATCTTGGTGTTTGAAACCCAAGGTTTTGTTGATAAAAGCTACTAGATGGCTTTTTACATCAGTACAACACCAATTCCTACACTAGAGACATCTGTTTCTATACTAGAGACATTTGTTTCTACAATAAATAACATGTTAAGGTTAAGCATTGCTCGTACCAGTGGATGTGACATAGCTTTGTTAAGTTAGTTGAATGTTGTTGTAGCTACTTCACTCCACTTGTAAGCATGTATTTTAAGTAATTGAGTCAATGATTTGCAAAATAATCCATACCTTTGAACAAACTTTCTTTAGTACCTAGTTAACCCCTTAATAGTTTGATGTTTTTAGTAACAATCACTCAATAATAGCCTTAATTCTTTATAGGTCAGTAGTTGTTCATTCCTTTAAAATAATATGACTTAAGTATTCCACTGTGCTACTATAGAAAACACATTTGTTAACTTTAGCAACCAACTAGTGAGTTATCAATAATTCAATTACTGTATTGAGGTGCATTAAATGTTCATCTATAGATTAATTATATAGTATATCATCAAAGAAAACTAATATAAACCTTTTGAGATGTAGTATAGAAACCTCATTCATTAGGTTTTGGAATGTAGCAGGTGCATTGCTAAGGTTACATGGCATCACCATAAACTAATAATAACCATTATGAGTTATAAAGGTTGCTTTATGGATATCCTTTACTGGCATCTTGATTTGATAGAAGCTTGTTTTCAAATCAATCTTTGAAACAATAGTAGCATCAACTAACTCCTTTAACAATTCATCTATTAAAGGTATGAAGTACTTATCTTTAATAGTAAGTTTGTTTAATGCCCTATAATCCATACAAAGTCTCTAAGAGTGGTCTTTTTTTTTTTTCAATAATACCATTGAAGATGCAAATGGACTTGTGTTATTCTAAATTATGCTAATTCCCAACAATTCTAAAATCATTTTCTCCATAACATCTTTTAGCAACCTTGAATATATATATATAGGGTCTTAAATTCAAAGGTTGTCCTCCCTTTTTCAATGGAATATGGTGATTATGTAATCTAGCTAGAGGCAAAGCCTTTGGTTCCCTAAAAATCTTAATATAAGTTTCAGTAGTTTCTCGCATGCAAGGATGCTCTCTGTAACGAGTGTTAAAGTTACAATAATATAATAAGAGCTCCAGGTATCTTCATTTAATATCCTCAAACTATATAAGCTAACACCTAGTATGTGATTAGCATTATCCAATACACCATTAAATTATTCAAACTAATAGTTTTGTAGTTGAGCGGGGTTGTCTCTTTTAAGTATAATTTGTTGTCCATTCCAATTAATTCCAATTAAAAAACATCTACATATCTTTGTAATTATACCAAATATCACCAAGTAAAGTTAACCACTATATTCCCAAGACCATATCACAACTGGTTAGTTTCACAATAAACATATCATTTATAAATTTGACACCCTATATTTTTCACTGAAAGCTCTTGCATATAATAGTGCAAGTTATTTTTCCACTATTAGCAGCTTTAATCATAATTGGTCTGATGCTAGCGAGTTGGCATTGCAATTTATTAGCTATTATAGGACTAATAAAATTATGTATGCTACCTGAGTCTACCATAATATATAATAATTATTTGTTCACCTTACCAGTCACCTTCAAGGTGTAGCAATCAAGGTTTCCTTCAATAAAATTGATGGATATGTGTGGACTGATGTGGTTAAAACTATTTTATTCTTCATCTACTGCATCATCATTATTATCTCCTTAATCTTTAATGATACATAAGGAATATAATCTTTTGTTTTTATATTTGCTATTAGATATAAACTTCTCATCACACCAAAAACATAACCCCTCCATTTTTTTGTTATAAAACTCCTTATTTTTAAAGTTTTTGAAAGATTTGTTAATGTCTTGTTAATGTTGTTTGGGTAAGGAAATTGGTCAAATATTTATAGAGTGGTTTTAAAATATAAGCATTTTGGTTTATAGTGTTTCAAGAGTAGGAGGAGTGGATAAATATTATGGCTGTGTGATTTGAGTGACTAAATAGATTGACAGTTTAGTAGGGTTTATGTGACTTCTCTTGTAGGATAAGGTACTTGCATGAAGTTTAGCTAGGTTGTAAGCTTGTTTCCAATGTTCTGGTTTAAACATTTTAATAAGATTTTTTTTATCTTCAACTCTATACCTCCTAAAAAGATTACCAAAGCTTGTTTCTCTCCTTCGTTGATTGTATTCCATAAAATATTAAAGTTTTTTACATATGTTTCTAAATCCTATTTTTGCCTTCATATTCATGAGTTCTTTTAAAGGATCCTATTGCCCCTAAAATCTACAACTAATAGCCTTCATATACTCTTTTCATGTAACCTCAAACCCTCGTTATATAATTTCGATGCTAGTAAAGATTTATCTCACCAAAATAATAGGAAGCTAGTTTGGATTTTTCACTTTTATTGATTTCTTCAACCTCAAAATATTGATTACACTTATAGCCACTTGTGAATACCCCCCTATTAAAATTAGAAAAATCTTGTTTAGGTTTACGTACCTTATAAGAATAGTGACCCCCCATCACAAATTCTATAGTTTCTAATAGCATATCCAGTCTGGTAACCTTCTTGATGATTACAAAAAGCATTTGTTTTGTGATTCATGTTTCACTGAACTTTGTGGGTAAGTGAGCTCTCCTAGTATCTCTTGAAGTTTCTCTAATCTAAAATCAATTTTCTCAAACTTGACTTCATTACTGATATTAGATTCTTCCAGTTGCTGCCCATACACCTTCAAAAGTTCCACTCTTGTGTCGTACTTCTTGCCACGATCCCCGTTGACAATTGCAATGGATTAATTGATCTTATCTTCAACTTTTCATATCTTGGTAATGAGTATCTGATGGAATACTTTGATTTTAAAGATATAGGGCTCTGATACCAGTTGATACAAGATTAATTTATAAAGCTTCCAGATACAAAAAAGCCACTGGAGAAAACAATTTCCAGAAATCTATGGATACAAAATCATTCTTGTTAAGTCATTGCCCTCACCCAGGTCACCGTATTGGACTCTCCTCAAGTTGCTACTAAATGCATTACCTAAGTAAATTTCAGAGCACTATTTTTTTTTTTAAGAATTAAAATTAATAAAGGGAAGGATTGCTTTAGGGCCCAGAAATGTAAGCTGTGTAATAAACTGTAACAATTGACATCCTATGTTAAGCAATTCAGTAGGACAAGTCATTAGCTTACACATGTAATTCAATGTTTCATATGCAATTTCAGGCAGTAGATTTTGTTTCCTCCTCTCTGAAATCACAAAATTTGTGTTACATTCGATGGGGGATAATGGTTTTCCTTTACACAACAGGAACAGAAACAGGAAACAGGGCAAGAAATAGAGCCCGGTTTCAAAGTACGTGCAAATGTAAGAACAAGCAGTTAAACATCTTACCAAATTTCAGAAATTTGACCTGCCTTGCCCTTCCAGCACAGAATACCTTTCTTTCATTTTCATGATTGCATTCAACTTCAAATAATTCCAATCTAACATTCCAGCACACAATACCTTTCTTTCATTTTCCATGATTGCATTCAACTTCAAATAATTCCAAACGATGCTAATGACATCAAAATCTTGCACCAAATCTCCTAAACACAATATCTGATAGAGAAGAAGTCAGAAACAATTCACTCCTTTAAGAATTTAATGGATCTGGAGAAGCTGAAAAATACATACAGCGAACAATGGGATTCCAACATCCTCTTAATATATCAATAATAATGTTGCAGTTGCTTCAAGAAACACCTATAACAAGATTTAGAACTCCAACCTATCTTACATCCATGAAGAGAAACGAAACCAGTACATACATAAAGGAAAACTTATTTTTAAACACCGATCATAGATTGTCTTGTTGCTATGTACATATGACTGTACAAATTCGTAAGAAAAAAAACCCGTATATGAACTTTCAGAGAAGACTTTAATAAATAAAGCAGCAGCACTGGTCAAAGGAAATCATCATCTTCCCTGTCCGATAATGTCACGGAGCATGGGATCCGTGGCGCTTGGTGACATATCCTTTTGGTTGTTCACGAGGCTTGTGCTTGTGGATGAATTATTGTGGCTAGTATCTGATGCTCTCGTTGCATCATCACTCGTAAAGGTGCTTGTATCATCAAATTTCCAGTCAGTCAAGTATCCCGGTTTCGAAGTTACTCTGTTCACTTCAATATCACCAGATAGCATAGCAATGACCCGTGACATTGATGGCCGTAGCGTAGGTGCAGTTTGAGTACATAAAAGAGCAACTTCTATCAGACGGTTCACTTCTTCCTCGTTAAATTCAGATAGTCTAGAGTCTACTAGCTCAACTTGACGGTTGTTTTCATGGAGGTGCCAGGCCTGAAAAGAAAGTAACCACGTATATTGATGAATGGCTTTAGAAAGCAAAGGATTTGACAGAAACATGATGTGTTAATTATAAACTGGCCAGAGTCAAATGTGGGCAAAACTCTTGCAGTGAGTGAGGTGTGACTATCGTATATAGCATACCCATTCAAGAAGATAAATCTTTTCCGTTTCCAAGCTTGTGTCTGAATTTGGTCTTCCACTTATGATTTCCAGAGCCACAACTCCAAAGGCAAATACATCGGCCTTCTCTGTCAGGTGTCCACGCATTGCATACTCCGGTGCAAGATATCCACTAAATTAGTAGTGACAGAGTCAGTAACGAATGCATTGATTTCACAGTCAATGATTCTAGGCATGAATCGAGTAAAAGGATGGTTCTTTGAATAAAAAGAAATTTAACGGTTTTGCACTTCAAAATCTTACATTGTTCCTGCAACACGGGTGCTTATATGGGTCTTCTTATCATCGTAAAGTTTGGCTAAACCAAAATCTGAAATTTTTGGAATGAGATTAAAATCAAGCAGAATGTTACTGGCCTTCACATCTCTGTGTACAATTCGAATCCTTGACTCCTCATGAAGATAAGCTAGACCTCTCGCTACTCCCAAGCATATATCATAGCGTGTTGGCCAGTCAAGATTCAAACTTTGCTCTCCTGCATTATGTGAGCATGCATAATTATGTTTCTGCCGCATTTTCTATACTAGTGTGTGTGTGTGTGTGTGTGTGTGTAGCAAATTAGCGTACCAAATACTGCTTGATCAAGACTCTTGTTCTCGAGATACTCGTATACAAGGAGTCGATTTGCTCCCTCGATGCAGCATCCATACAATTTCACAAGATTACGGTGTTGCACAGCAGATATAGTAGCAATCTCTGCTATAAACTGAGTCTTTCCTTGGTGAGATGACATGGACAGCTGCTTAACAGCAATCACTCTCCCATCATTAAGTTTTCCCTATTGGTAAAAAATCAATTAGTATAATGAAATATTATGTACTGATTTTAATGATCCAAATTTCCTGCAACTGTGACCAATATGAAAGTTGGGCTAGCATGACTGAGACCTTTGTATAACACTTCCAACATTTAGACTGCTCAATTGAATTTGTGAAATAGATGGAAGAAACAAGCACATAAGATGTGCTCAGCTGCTTTCTATCATTGATTAATATAATTACATACCTTGTAAACTGGTCCAAATCCTCCCTCTCCAAGCTTATTAGCAGAACTAAAATCTTCTGTAGCAGTCTTCAGTTCACCATAACTGAAAGTGTACGGTCTAGCATCGATCCCTAGGAACTCTGCAATTTTAAACGCATACTTATTCAGGAAACTGTTTGTCTGCTCACTTATTCACTTATCTATCATGTACATTTTAAAAAGGATAGAAAGGTGAGAAGAATCTTTACAAGATGAAATTGAAAATGAGAACTAATCTTTTGATTAAATGACATTAGATGGAATGCAGTGCTATATGTTCTTACATCTAAGAGCCTCTGACATGAGAAAATTTTAGTTTATGCCTCAGTGTTCCATTATACTTCTGAAATTATCAAATACTTTTTATCCAGAGATTGCCTAGTTTAAGATGGGAACAACAGCGGCCCAAAACATACATAAAATTATCAATGTAGTTAACACAATATGTGGGTCAAATGCTACGAACAGTAAAAGACTATAATCATACTGATAGGCGATAGCAGCATTTTTATATATGGATTCTACAAACAGTTAAAAGGTCTGAAAGCTTGAACAGAAATGAAGCACGGTTTTCCTTTTCCAGCTTACCTTCAAAATCATTGTTGCTTTGCCTTTTTCTTCTTCGAACAAAGAATACAGCAAAAACAAGTAGAAAGCCTACTATTCCAACACCCACAACAATCCCCGCAATCAAACCAGTCCTATTCTTCTTCTTCTTCTCACTTGGTAGCTTGTTACTAACAGTGGGTGTGAAATCTGTACAGAACCTCAGTAGTCAGAAATCAATAACTCGGGTAACATTAGAATTTATCAAGTCTGTTACCTGGGATAGCATTGATCGCTGAAACTGAAGGTCCATATGTACCTTGAGCAGGAATGCAACAAGTCCCCTTTCCAGCCCAAAAGAAATGGATATCAAGGTAATTTTCTGTTACCTGAACCTTAAATTCCCTCTGCACAGCTTGATTCATGATTCCGCCTGCTGCCTTTTGTATGTCAAAATCCTTCAAAACACGACTTCCCTGGAATACCGAGGAAAGAACTTAGATAAAATTGAAATAACAAAAGCAGCCATTTTTTTGGCAAGCAAACCAAGAGATTTGATATCATGTAATGCCAAGAATTACGTGGAAGGGCTAATTCATTGCAAGATTAGACTGTAGTTTCCATGATGGCAACTGCAACAAGGTTTACAGTTGAATTATGAAAAAGTTAGGAACAACTTTCTTCGTGAAAGGTATACTTATCTTGATCAAGTGGTGATTCAGGATTACACAAAAATCTTAGCAGTTAGTGTCAATATTCATTCTTCATAAGTACTCGATGAATCACATCCATTTTAAGACTTCTACCACTTAAACATGTAAATATTTATTGTGCTTATTATCAAAGTACTACACATTTAATGCCGCAATACAGACCTGGATATAAACATGGAAAACACGCCTTCCAAGACTCTTCCATGTGCTTCCTTGTGAAATAACTGATTCTGTAAACTGAATGATAATGGTGTAGTGGCCATTCTCGAGCCCCAACCCATAGTACCTTAGTGATGAGGCAGAGAGTCGAGATGTCTGGAACAACTCAGAGTCTAGAGTATTTGTAAATTGTGACGATGAAGATGTCGTGTACTGAGGGTCGTTGCTTCCGGAAAAATATCCAGTATTACTAACACCAAAAGTGCTTGTGTCACTCACATAGTATGATGCTGCAGCAAGACTCGCGTTATCTCTCTCAAATAGAACCTTGTTTGAAGATGTGATTTCTGGACCACCACACTTGATACCAAATTGTGAATCTACACCATTACAAAAAAAAAAAAAAAGGTATTAATCAGAAAAAATTTGATAATAGCTCTCGAAATTGTGATATGATTCTTGCACATTAGATGACAGGATTGTTTTCAAACCTACAATCCTGAAACAAAGCATTCCACCCAACAAAGCACGAGTGGAAATAAAAATAAAGCATTTCAGTTGTACTTACAGATTGGAGAGCCTCGATTGCAAGGAAAGTTGCGTTGAAGACAATTCAACCCTGACGGTAAACCGCTGAAAATTAAATGAGGAAGGTAATTGGATGATCTATTTGGAAATATTTCAATGGAGTGCTCGAATTAAAGGGGGATTTAGAAGAAAAGATTCACCTGAGGTTTGAAGCAACTACTGTGAAGTTGTTGGCAACTAAATTACTGCACAGACACAAGTAATGTCTTAACATGAGCTTCATTCAGCAGTAAGTGCACACAGGATTTGAGCACAAATTACAGAATGGTAGTTTTATTCTTAAGAAATATTTTTCACAAGCTGTTTACACATACTATTTGATGTGCAAATAAGATTTCCGAATGTAAAACTTACAGCTCTAAATTTGTTTCGCTGACCCAGGATGGAAACCCCCCTGCTAAATTATTGTATGACACATCTCTGGAAGAATGAAATGATCAGCATTAACCATCTGAGCTTAAGACAGAATAAATGAACTTGTATTCCAGCCAAAAGATAGTGTTCGTCACATAATGTTGAAAATCAATATTCCAAATGTACTTACACATTGAGAAGTTTTGAACTTTTTGTTGCCGGAAGGGTGCCATTTAATTTATTGTTTCCAAGAAACCTAGCACAGTGGGAACAAGGCATGCTTCAATATGTATCGTACATGTTATGAGATATGATGCAATTAAGCAACGATGGTATCTTACAAGTAAGTGAGCGAGCTCAAATTGAAAAGCGAGTCTGGAATCTGTCCCTCGATATTGTTGAAGCTCAAATCCCTTAAAGAAGAAAAGAAATTGTCATCATCATACATCATACATCATACATCATAAGATAAGTTTAGCCATCCAACAAAGTGAAAGCAATGGTCAAAAGTAGATAGGAAATAATTAGCTCTTCCTCTGCAACTTCCAGTTGCATAATTTAACCCAGATTAATTACTCCATGAAGAGGGGAAAAGACTGCGCTTTGAGGCCACTTTGAAAGTGATCATACCTCATAGAAATATGAACCAGCCTCATTGCTTGAAGAGACAAGTTACACTTTCGTGTAAATGAACCAGCTCACTCCAGCCAAACATATTTCCTCCTTAACATGTATGATACACCTAAAGACACATATTAATAGAAATAACTTACAGCTGTGTCAAACTCTGGAATTCTCCGATGTAGGATGGAATTGAAGCAGAGATGTTGTCATTCCTGAGCACCCTGAATGACATGTTCCCAAGTAATTGACATTACATTTCAAAAGCTTTCAAGAACAGGGAGAAAAAAGCAAATAATAGACTGTTGTCTCACAAAATGCTTAGAGACTTCATGTTTTTAATAAATTCCAGTGAGGAACCTCCATCAGATAAATCGCTTATCCTTCTGCAATCATGGTTTAAATGAGATTGTTAGCACCGTTGACCAGTAACATATAAAAAAGGATAGCAAAGAAACAGACGCAGAAACTCACAAGTCTGTCATAGTAGTGAGGTTGGAGAATACTGATGGTATTGGACCTTCAAAAGCATTACCTTCAAATCTTCTGCAGTAACATTCATGACTAGATGATATAAACTGTGCAGATTTAACATGTAAAGAAGTACAAACAAACAATTTGTTTTACATGCCACAATTCTTCTTCCTAAAAAAGAAGTTTTACGTGGAAAAGGGAGCTCAAACCATTGTTGTCTCAAGTGCAATTGAAGAAAATAAATATAAAACATGTTATAAATCTTCTTACAGGGAAATAAGCTTCGACCAATTTCCTATGAAGTCAGGTATCGTTCCTGAGAGTTCGTTGTCTGAAGCCCACCTGAGATGAACGGCAACGATTGCTCAGAACAATAATGTTTCAATTTTTATTTTTATTTTTTTACTTCGAAACAACATTTCAGGACATTTTAATTAAGTGGAAGAACAGTCAAAATATTCTTACACTGTAGCCAAGTTCTGCAAATTAGCGAAGGTTGGAGGAATCTCACCACTAACTCCAGAGCTATCAAAATAACTGCCAAGGCAAACAAATTTCATTACTCTTTTTTACCTTTCTTTTCAGTCTAATTATCCATGTAAATGTTACCAGATCATCATGGAAGAATAGAAGTTGGCAGAACAAAAATATAGATGTGCAGAATAATTAGTTCCAGAGACATAAGAATGCTCGTATATTGGTTATACTATTTCAACCACAGGATGAATGGCAAATAATCTCTGTTCATGGATTTGCTTTCATTTCCTATGCCACTCTACATCTCACATTTTTCTGTACGAGATCCCAGGACAGTCACTCCCTACCAACAAGCATAGTAATTTACATTTAAATTGAACAGAAGCTCAGCAATACCACAACTTACATTTCTTCCAGTTTTACTAAATTCCCAAGCTCAGATGGCAGAGAACCAGTGAAGTTGTTCGATCCAAAACCACTATCAACATTAAGAAACAAATCAACAATATGGAAATTAAAAGTTAATACATAAAAAAAAAAAAGAGGAAGAAAGAAGAAGAAGCTGCACTAATTCATGCCTATGAAATAAAAATCAGGAGGTCGCCAATTAAATGAACTTACAATACTCTTAAATCAGTAAGCAGTCCAAGTTCCTTAGGAAGCTCCCCAGACAATGCATTAATTCCAATGGTCCTAATCGAAATATAAACTTGTAAGCAGAAGAAGAAGAATATAAACTATGTAATATCCTATTAATTAATAATTAAAAATAAGAACAGCTTACATGTATTGCATCCGAGTTAGATTACCGATGGATGGTGACAGGTTACCTGTCAAATAATTTTGACCCAAATTCCTGCAAGAAATCAGAACAAGCAACAGTATTTAGCTCGTAAGTTTAAAACACACTGACAGACTGATCATATGTACGATGTGCTATAAACAGCAGTGTAAGACTGAAGCAAATGTACAGGAGGACTGGAAACCATACAAATTGGTGAGGTAAGTCAAGCTCCAAAGCTCATCTGGAATCAATCCTATAACATCTATTGCGTAAACTTTCCTGCATTTCAAAAATATAAAGAATAAGCAAGCGTGAAGAAAGATTCAACTTTTATCCTAGAAAATCACAAGAACACAAAGGCATTGTATAGCACCCCAAATAACCAATTGACCCGTCAAGACTAATAAGAAATGTAACCTGCCCTCGTGCCTGAAACCTTAGATGCATGAGCAAATGGGATGGGACATGGTGAATTGGTCCGGGCAAGGTTATCAGATAGGAAAGTTGAGAGTACATTGCAAAACAAAAGTTATATATGTGTATATATATATATATATATATATATATATATATCATGTTTCAAATACAAGGCAAATACATACGAGAACAAGTGAGATTTTCTCGTCCATGTACCGACTACTACCTAACTTCCAAGCTTGGCTCACAGGAAATTTCAACAGTTGTTCCAACAAATGGGTCTAACAAATGGGTCTCCAATCTCCAATGTTTATGTTTACTAACTCCTTTTCTTTTTCTCACAGAACAACGCAGAAACCACTAAAAAAACATCAAATGTTGATGACTCCTGAGAGAAAAGTAAATTTACCAGGCATAAATGGAAACTTTAAAGCTGGTAAAGAGAGAACATACAGGGCAGTAATACGGCAAGTGGTGCCATTAAGGAAAGTGCAGTCACATTTGATAAAGGGGTTGAAATCAGTGTCGTCAATGGGAGGAGATGCACCAGTGGCTGCTCCACTGCATACGTCTCCACTTGTGTTCCATTGATTGGTGTTGGCTGATATACTCCATTGTTGAAAGATCGAGTTTAATGCTCTAGCTGCATATCCAAAAACAAAAACCAAAAACAAAATATTCTATATTGCTAGTAATAGTCATGAACTTTTTCCCCACTAGAATAAGAAATTAATATTTATGTTAAAGTAATTATCGGAGCTGTGTTTTCAATTTATTAGACCTTTTTATGTATCAAAATTATCCATGACACAATAAGTAGATGTCCAAAATGATTCATAATGTTATAAATTAATTAATATGTTTTAAGGTAATATATTATTGTATTATAGTTATACTACTATATATCGCAAGCATCACAGCTATGGAGTTACTGAGAGTGATTAAATATTTTTTTCACAGCATAATATGTAAATATACGTAATAATTCATAACTTATGATTATATTATTTCTAAATAACTAAAAACAAATAAAGGCTTAATCCCCATCTTAATTATGATTACGAGCCATCCCCGTGATGGTCAATTAAAGATTGATCATAAATGCTTTAGGTTCTCCTTTTCCTTTTCAAACTGAGTGTTGATGTCTTCCGATCGATTGTTTGGTTTTGGAGGTATTTTCATGCTAATTTTTGTGTATTAAATTTATTATTATTATTATTATTTTATTTTTGGTTGAATTTTAATAAGAACAGGCTATATATATAATCTAATCATTATCATGAAAAAATAAAATAAATTTAAGCTCAAGCCACCCTTGTCATTTATCATTTCTACCTTTCTTCATAAGAGCCGTCATCATTATTTATTTATTTACGTGTCATTTTATTTATTTATTTATTTATTTTAATATCAACCTTAATTTGTAGCTAAACAAACAAAATAATGCAAGGTGGCAACTGGCAAGAGCATGCAATTAAACATATAGAAGAGATCCTTGATATATGGAGAGAACTCTTTCTTTTAAATTTCTTTTACCGAATCCCGAATTAATATATATATATATATATATAGGGTTTTCCTTCCTTCTTTCTTTTTTTTTTTATATGTTTTTTAGGGACAAACCTGTTTTCCTTCCTTCTTTCTTTCTTTTTTTATATGTTTTTTAGGGACAAACCTTAAAGCTACCATTGATATGAATAAATCAAAAGTTGAACCACTTCTCTCGCTCATGCGATTTTTTTTTTGTGTGATCTTATATTATTTTTTAAAAAAAGTAAAATGAATATATACTTCAAGTAAATTTCTTAACTAAGCTGGTAAAAGAACAGTTCTAAGATCTAATTCTTAGTTGATCATCAGAAATATATTTTGTTCTCTTAATAGATAATTTGTTGAGAGATCATGGTAATATATACTGATAACATCACATCATCATCACCAAGAACAGCTAAAAAGGGGGGGGAGAGAGAGGTCTGTACCTTCATCGGGATCTGTAGTAGGTTGAGTTTGATTCTGTGCTTGAGCTATGGCAGCCAAACCAATGATGCAAACAAAAGAAAGGGCTAAGAAGGGAAGAAGAAATGGATGTCTGATCATGATCAATACTTGAATCTTCTGTAATTGCAAGGTATCAATGAAATGGCAAGAGAATCAACGACGAGTGAGGGAGAGGAACAGATTAGAGAGAGAGAGAGAGCAGAGAGCCCTTCAGCTTTTCGCAGAGCCACCAAATGGCCACAACTGACTACTAAATTATATTTACTTGAAGACGGGAAAGTTTGTTTTCACACACATTTATCATATTACGCTGACATGCGAAGCTTTGTTTACAAATGCCAACTGCCACATCATTGCATGAGGGATTTTTTTTTTCAAAAAAAAAAGAAAGAAATTAACACAATTTGACAACCAGTAATATTCTCAAATTAAATTATTTGAAAAATATTCAGTGATTGGGAATAGCGATTTGACCAAAAAGATCAAGCATAAACTAATGCTAATTTAACACCAAACACATCCTAAATTATACCTAACCCTAGACTATAACTCTAATCTAAAAGACAAACCCTAAATATTATTATTAATCATTAACCTCATAAATGAATCCTAATTAACCCCCTTCCTTAAATGCAAACTCTAAAAACTAACCCTAAAGCAACAATATTTAGATTTTGTTAGGGTTATTGATTAATGTTTAATTTTAAGGATAGTAATTAGTATTAGTGTTTAAAATTTATTTTTAGATTTAGAGTTATGATTTAGATTTATTAAGAAATGCTATGTAAATCACGTTTTCTCGAATCTTGAAAAAAACTTTTATTAAAAATTATATTTTTAAATTATTTTGATATCTAATATTAAATATAATTTTGTAACATAAAAAATATTATTTTAATAACTTTTTAAATAAAAAATATTTCAAACCATAACAACTACTACAATTTAAAATACACCTGAAAGTTACAGTATAATTCTAGATTAATTGTTTCCAACCACCATGTCTCTGCAACCGTCGCTATTTTCAATCAAATCTTTATTAAAAGTTTGCTATTTCCAAAATGCTTTTTTAATTGCGTTTGCTATTTTCAAAATGCTTTTTTAATTGCGTTGTTTTCCATCATGTATTAGAAGAGTAAACGACCCAGTCACGTAGCCGCCACGTATCTTTTGAACCGTTAAAAACAATCTTTCAGTGGTCAAACAAATTGATTAATCAACTTGTTGGATCAAGTTGGTTTCTTTTCTTATATCATGCTGGCCTATCACACGTGTGTGTATTTATATATATATTTGTGCAATCAATATGGACTTATAATGGTAACAAGTAGATGTATTAAGCTATTAAATAAGTAATAAAATCTAAAGAAGTTAGAACAAGTTCTAATTAAAAATAAAATAAATTATTGATTATGTTATAAAAACCTTTATGTCCACGCCCCATGGGCTCCTTAGAGGAACGATATACAATTAGGTTAAAACTAATTTGTTTTACATGCCACGTTTTAATTGTGAAGGATTTACTAAAATTAATCTAGAATTATGTGTAGAAACAAATATCAAATAGAGTTTTTAATTTTATTTAAAAATTAAATTGGGGATTCAATAAATGGATACAAATTAAAAAATTTGATCTTATTTTATATGAAGCTCTTCATAAAAGTTTTTATCTAAATATATGGAAATAATTTTATTTTTTTCTAACGAGAGTAATAACTTAAATTCTATTGAAACAAAATAACTTTTTGAGTATAATTTCTTATTTCTTTTATTAATATATTTCTTTATAGAAAAATATAGCTTTTGGAGTTATGATGATTACTTAATAAAAACTAAAAGTAATTAGAATAAAAATCAAAATAATTTTGAATAATTTGAAATAAAGATAAAAAAATAATTTTTTTAATTAAAACATCTTCATGTGATTAATGCGCTAATTTTTATTCTTATTGTCTTTACTATAATAATGGTTTTTTAAACAACAACATAACATATTAGAAACGTAAAAGCAAGTTTCAATAAATAAATAAAAAATTATATTTTGATACTTATAACATGAATGTATTAGAAAGAAAAAGAATAATCTAATGCTCTTGTGCACTTAAAAAAAACCCTATTGGAATCTATTTTATAATTAATTAGAATATGATAAAACAAATTGCAGGAAAGGCACATCGAATATAATTATGAAGAAAAAATATAGTTCTTTTTTCTGTTAATGCCTTTTTTATATCCCTGAAAAAGTTTTTGATAAAAAAATATGTTTTTTTAATTAAAAACAAGTTTATTGAATTAAAAATAATAATAATTCAAAAACAAAAATTGACAACTACATTTTTATTGAGTATTCATAACCACGAACAATAAAAGAAAAAAAAGTCTGCATGGAATGTTTACATTAAATAATTTATAAAAGTGATTGATAACACTATAAAAGGCTATAATAATAAGTAATGCAATAATATTTTAAATATTATTTTATTCATATTATTATAATTAATTTTTACTAAATTTTAAGAAACAAATTATAAAAAAAATTATAAAGGGTTGTACGAGAAAAGAGAACTTGTTAATGTTATAAAAAATATTATAATCTTATTTAAAAATAAATTCAAATTAGAATGATATTTAATGGAATAACACCCTAAATATAATTTTATTAATTTCATTTTATAGAACTTTAATCAAAATTTAAGAAAAACAAAATAAAATAAGGTTTGAGGGTTGGAGTCCGTACAGGTCACTACCAAAAATTCAATGAATACTAAATGAAATACCGGCGGAATTTTTTTGTCGGTAATGTGCGATGATATTTACCGACAAACTTAAATTCATCGCTAAAAACATTAGTATATACTGATAGAATTCCAAACAGAATATAAAAAATTTCAAAAAACAAAGTAGTGCGATGATGTGGAAGTTTTTATTGATGATTTTACTGATGAAATTATAAACGATTCAAATCAAAATTTCCATACTAAGATGTGTCCACTTCACATGCAGAATTGCAATCGAAATCACAAATGAAAATATTTCATTGGTGATTCGATCGATAATAGCTAACATATCACCATGTTGTCAACTCTCCCTTCCTTTATTTTTCCTTCTTTTTCCCTATCCATGTATCTAAAATTAAAAAACTTCAAAGAACCACCCCTCAAAACAGCCCCACTGCTCCCCTATCCCTGTATCTATGTCATAGTTTATTGTGGATTTTGTTATTTTTGTAACTAAATCTATTTTTTTTAATTTTAACATTAAAATGTTAATTTTATTATTATTGAATTTTTTTTAGTATATGTATTTTATTAGGGTATGTACATGTTTTATTATTTTTTTCTCAAACAAACTTGTAGTATGAATGTATAATTTTATACTTGTTATGCTTTGTTTTAAATTTTGTAAAATTGTATTTGTTTGTAAATTATTGAAACTTATATCAAATTACTGAATTAGATGTGTTGTAATGAAATAAATAATAGTTTATTTAACGAGTCTGTTTTAATTTTTATCGATGTTATTGCTGAATTGTAATTTTTGTAAATTTATGTGTATAAATTTGAATGAATATTGATAATTAATAATGAATATTTAAGAGAAGTTTTAAAGTAAGTTGGATAATTATTGAGTTAAACCAATATTTTTGCAAATTTATTTACTTAATGTAATTAATTAAATATATGGTGTCATCATTATTTTATAGAGGCTCGATAGAAGTCATAAATGATCATTAATGGATATATCAAGATTCACCCCAAGGATTGTAGATGATGGATTATTGGAATAGGGATAGCGGTTTTATTAATTTTGCAACATCTATTCTAAAAAATTTTAGTAGATGTGGTATTAGGTGTCCATGCAAAAAGTGTAAAAATAAAAAGTTTATGCATCTAGATGTTGTAACGATGCATCTTCTACACAAAGAGTTTATGGAGAATTACATATGTTGGTATAAACATAAAAAACTTTTTATTTGTAATGAAAGCATGGTAGAAAAGATGAGTGGGTCATCTTCTAATACTAGCAATGTGTATGAAGTTGTAAATAACAACAATAATCCTTATACGAATATGGTTATGGATATAATAAGAATGAATCAAGGTAAAGCTAGTCAATGGTCAATCATAAAAAAAAGAACCTAATGTAGATACAGGTAGGTTTTTTTATCTGTTAAAAGATTTTGATGAACCATTATGAAATGGTTACACAAATCATAGTAAATTATCGATCGTTGCATATGTGTTCACCATCAAGTCAGATTATGGGGTTAGTGAGGTCGATTATGCTAAAATTATTAAATGAACGAGAAACATTTTATCTGGAGGGAATAGGCTAAAAGAGAGCTTTTATGCTGCTAAGTTTATGATAAAACCACTCGGTTTAGGATATTAGAAAATTGATATGTGCCCTAACTTATGCATGTTATACTACCTTGAAAATATTAAGCTAGTCGAGTGCGTGACACGTGAGTATTTCCATTACAAACCAAGAATTGACATGGTAAAGACTTAGATTTTTCTCAATCACACCTAGACTATAAAAGTTATTCATGTCACCAAAGACTGCAAAGCACATGACTTGAAACTAATCACATGATACGGTTAATGGAGTGATAATGCATCCTTCTGATGGTGAAGTATGGAAACACATTAACAATGTGCATTTTTACTTTTTAGCTAAATCAATAAATGTGCATCTTGGGTTATGTATAGATGGATTCAACTAATGGTAATAACAAATGTCAAGGTTAGAGGATCCACTAATGGTATGTCAAACAAGTATAGTATAAACTTTTATTATTCAATTGGAAACCACACACAAAGGAGGTTCCAATCAGATTATAGATTGTTAACATGATTACATTAGTCATCTTATTCGATTAATGCTAATACTTGTAAATCTCATCAAGCATTCATGATTATAACTTATGTTAACAACAAATCAAGTTCCTTTCATAGCTCAGGTGTCGGTTATACCATACAGTATGAACTATGAAAGTGCCAAGCATTTGTTGTACCAAGTGTTATACAACATAAATCAAGATTAATCATTTAACAAGCAAAGTATTAAAGAGTAAACAAGATAACAAATATAAAACATGTTAGTATCAAACATTAAAGTCCATATTAAGTTTACACTATACTTATTCTTACACCATTAGTGTAACCTTTTCACCTTGACATAACTAACTTAGCTAGACATAATGAAAGAAAGCAAAATAGATAAACAAAATAAGAACATAAAAGTTAACTAAGTAAAGGAAAGGAAATGAAAGGCA